TGAGTAAGTACTCTCTGATTTACATGATTAAAGTAAATATGCTATAATTGCACGTGGACCACTTTTAATTTTATTATTTATAATTAGCATTATAATTATAAATGTGTTAGAGATGGACTTGATTTCTATCTCCCCAATTGTTGTAACAGTGTTGTAAGACTATGTTTTATGCTGGCCAGCCCTTTAGTTAAAGTTTTGAGACAGAAAAGGAACCTCAGCAATCTGCATTGCTGCTGCATGCTGCAGCAATGTAAAAGTGTGGCTGCAGTGCAGCAAACATGCTGAAGCTTCTTCTCTGTCTAAAAAAACATTCTCAGTTTGACTGTCTCAAAACATTCACTAAGTTTTAATAAATCAAGTACATGCTGCAGGTTCTTCTCTATCTCAAAACTTTCACTAATTATTTTCCTTTAATTTGTACTAGATTTATTAAGGCTTAGTGAATGCTTTGAGACAGAGAATTGTTTGCTTTTTTATACAGAGAAGAAGTTTCAGTATGTTTGCTGCATTGCTGCAAAGGTGTGGCTGCAATGAAGGTGTGGCTCAATCAAGCCATGCTCCACCCGCACACACAGTAATGGTGGCACGTGGCCTTAAGTGGTGAAGAAAGCTTTGGTTTTTCTCAACTTTTAAAGATTTTAGCACACATTTGTTAGACTCTATTTGTTGCATACAAACGTCTATTGAGCCCCTGATGTTAAAAGACTCTGGCCGCTACTTCGGGAGAAGATAGCCTCGTCTAAACTCACAAAAGTATGAATTTTTGGGCTACCATATCTTTAAAACTAAGATGATTAGAGCAATTCCTCTCATAATAATGAAAGAGAAGGCTTTGCTTTATTGTTTTATCTGCCCAGTTGCTCTTTTGCTCTCACTATGAAAGAGTTGTCGGGGAACCGACCTACGTTTGGCGACTTTGCCAGCTTCTTTATCCATGGAAAAGAAAAATATAGCATTCTCAAGACGGAGAATAACTTTTTCTAGAGCCAGTGTTGATCATAAGACTCTTGAGGACTAGACAAGAAAGCAGTGTCAGCTCAAAAGTGGAGATCAAGCGAACACACACACACACACACACACACACACAGACAAAACGACTGCTTTACCCTCGCTTCACGCCTACGCGTGGCTCGGGTAATGACAGACAGACAAACCGAGTACCTTAGTCCTCGCCTACGCAAAGCTGGGCGAGGCCAACAAATGAACTAACCAGTTCATCACTTAGACCAATCATCCAATTAACATCAATAATCATAATGTAAACACGATACTCTAGTCAACTAGCATGGTTTACACTAGAAAGAATGTAAAATATTGAGGGGCTCTACATTCTGAACACACCTCCTAGTCACGCCCCCAAACGTACGCATGCATGTATACATACATACATACAGAAATGTAAGGGCTTTGCCCAATAAATTTAAAAGGAACAATATTAGTCTCCAACTACGTCTAATTTTATTCTAGGCAAATCCTTGTAATATTTTGGTTGTATAATTCTGGTGCATATCAGTGACTGCTTCTAGCTATCTTTAATGGTTGCTAAATGCTATAAGCAAGGTAACTTTAACTGCTGCAGGGATTACAAAGGTAGATCAAGAACTGGATCCATCAAGTTCTGAGCTGCTTAAGTTGCATAATCATGCATGAGTGTTGTTAGTCTGTCAAGATCTATATATTTATGAACATTGCTTTGCTTACTTAGGCTCACCCCATTAATGTTTTACCATCATCTAGTTACTATTATTATTATTATTATTATTATTATTATCATTGTACAAATATTATACCCTGCATCCTACGTCTCGAGCTGCTATAGGAACACTAGTACCAAAACCTATATATATATATATATATATATATATATTTATATCCTACTTGTGGCAAACTTCAAAGACAAGGACAGGGATATAAATGTCATATAGCATACAGGGGGCATATAAATTGCTTTGATGTTTGATATATGCCCTGGTAGTGGTTAACAGTTTATACAGGTCAAAACATTATTAAAATAGTTTTAAATTGAATAAATGAATTGATTAAATAAAAAAAAAAAAAGATTGATTAAGATAAGAAGAGTATATACATTGC